AGCTAATAATATCGTTACTTAATTGACCGCAATTCTGCAGCGGAAAAGGAAAAGAAACTGCGGTGCAGAGCTAGGAATTAACGAGGGGTCACGTAACTATCGTCACTCCCTTCTTTTTTCTCATTCTGAACTAAACGAAACAGTAGTCATAGAATCAAAAGATTCTGATAATGACCACAACTGCCCATAAGATGCAACTCTGACACTTCCCGACACAATGAACTGATTGCACTGGAATCGTCGAGACCGCACTTTATGATAATTAATATTCAACTATTGTTTCATTTCCTGTTTACGTTGATGAAGCAGACTGAAATGGATGAGAAGTGGACGGTCAAAAAGCTTCTGACTGTTCAAATTGCCCGAAGATTTTTAGCAATCCTTAGGGTACTTTTTGGATGAGACTATCCGAATGTAAATGGAAGGATGGCGTCTGATAAAGTTAACATCGCCGAACTGGCGGTCAGTGGAAGTGAACTGAGTAGTTTCTAAACAAAAACTTAGTTAAGAAGATGAAAGAGTCGATGCAATCTTTCTGTTTCAGGAAGTTTTGCGAGAGAATCGGCAAGGGGCAGAAGTAATGACCTGCCAAAGTTCTTCCATCACTGCAAGAGTTCAGCTTGAGAAAACATTTCTGTTTGATTTGATTTAGCCGCTACTTTGAAACTGATGATAGTTCCATACAAAAATTTTGATGTCGACATTCATTCCAGACAGTATGCACGGCTACAAATGGAACTCTTCATTCGATCTATATCTGGACAAATATGATACGAATCTCGGGAGATGCTTGAATGATTCTCGACCGGCCGAATTTGATATTTTTTGAAAGAAAGTTATCCAAAGAGCTCTGAAGATTGCAAAATCTCGGATGAAAATGATATAATAATTGAATAAGCTGGAAAAGAATAGAAAGATAGCCTATTCATTATAGTTTAAGTTCCGGTGAATGACCGATTACATCGGCTGATAATATAACCCAGCTTCAAAAATGGCAAATCGATAATTCCATGAATATGGAAGCAAAGATTCGAGACTGAAAATCATAAAACCTATTATTTGCTGATAGCTTTTGAGTGTTTCTAAAGGTAAACCCTCTCAATGAGTGTCAACAATAAGCAATTCTCTGAATAACATGGGAAGCTCTCATAGAAGGCAAGCGTGGGAAAAGTCAATTTGGATAAAATTGATTTCACAGTAGAATAGTGATAAAATTAAAACGTTGGAGAAATTCGTATAAATCTGGAGAGATCAGTTACATTCCTATACTGTAACAATTGGAAATGCCTATAACGATTAGCTAAGGGATGGATTGAACATTTGATGAAGTTGAAAAATTTGCTTTGAAGCATTTGCTTGCAATATTGGCAACTTCAGTAGTAAACTTATTGCTGAAAATATTTTGAACACAAAAGTGTAGATAAACTTCTTCTCATTAGAATTAGTTCAAGTATTGATATGGAAGGTTTGCAAGATAATTCATATCGGAATCTTACTTAAATGAATAGTTGAAAAGATCTAATTTGGAATCGATTTTGCATCAGGATACTTATCGATAACAACTGCATTCAGACACTAATTCCGATAATATTAAGAATGTAAGCAAACTAAACAATATTAGCTGTATCAACATTGACATTCATAATTTATCCATTCCATTGTGAGACAAAATCTTCACAGTTTTCATTCTTCATTTTGACGTGAATTTAACGAAATTTGAAAAGAAACGTTTAAGGAAGGATATGATTGGATGAATTATTTCTTCAACATATCGCATCCTTCCAGATGATATAGCAAAATGAAAGTAATGTGAATTTAAGGAAAAGTAATCGTAACCAGTTAGCACCATTGGACGATATCTTTGCAACTGATTGTTAATGGATCTTCAACACGAAAGTAGCAATCGAATACATTTGGTCATATCTAAAATTGATGATTGTAAAAGAGTGAGATATTATTGGGATATGCTACGCAGATATTTTCTCTTTAATGGGCGAAAAATAGCCAGCAGATCTTATTCTGATGTTGTTTATCAAGAATACTTCGATCATTAAATATGTTGAATTCAGATGTTCTGTTGATGGAAGACAACATGTACCTATATGGATGAATAAAGAAACTTTTTAAGGATAAGAATTTTGTAAGTAGAACTGCACCAGTGAATATGAATTGTAAACTTTGACATACATCAAAAGAACTTTTTTAGATCACAAAATGAAAGGAGTATTTTACTGATGATACTACATTATCATATTTTTAATTTTCCTCCATAAAATTTCGACAGATTCCTGAATAAAAAATAACCTAGGTAAAATTCGTGAGCAAATGACAAAACAAATATGGTATAAAACAATGCAGATAATATCGATAATAACATAACAACGATTTGCTTCGTTTATTTAATTCAAGCTATAAAGAGAAAAAAAGAGTGAAAGTTGATGAATCTCACAAAAATCATTTCCCACATCTGAAACGTAACTGACATTGAAAGATTTAGATTCGTTGCATGCCATTTAAAGAGAATTAGTACTTAAAATTGCACAAAATAAACCGACACGTGCTTAGAGATTTTATTTTGTAATATTCACAATAATTTTCAAATAAAATTGTAACAAATTCAAAGTAATTAATGTTTCAACAAACAAAAATAATTTTATTCATCAATCAACTCTCATTATATTGTTCTATTTCTGCTACATCTAATGTTAAATCTTAGAATCGAGAAAGATACAAGCAGGAACAATTCCTAAATTTTTATATAACTTCAAACAGTTCAAAATTCATTTCAAATGTTTGAGCACAAAAATCCCGAAATATCAGCGGAATGATAACAGATTTTAGAAACCCTAACATTATTTCCAAAAATAATAATGACTGATCATTAAGCATAAGCTTCTTTCATCATGTGTCAAATAGGAACGAGCTAGATAAAATCCAAGAAACACTGGAATTTTTTGTATGCCAAAAAAGTGTACCAAAGAATTCATAAAATAGTATAACAATTAAAGGAACGAAAAATGATTTATCATATTTCATATTTTTTGGAACAAAATCTTCCTGACTGAAGCATACCGTCAATGGAACTTTTTATAATAGCATTTTGAGTCTTGACTGATAAGATCCCTTTGCCTAACGTAAAATCATTGATCTGAAATGCAGCACCATATCATTATTAATTTGGAATTCCTTTTTTGAATTAGAACCGTCTTTTTTAAAAAAGAACCGATGAACTTCAAGAACAAAATGTCTAATTATCAGGATTCTTATGTTCATTACTTATATTTGCTTAAAATCAAAGTTTCCTTTGTTATTAATGCAGTGAATCTATTATCGATTCTGGCTACTACTGATGAAAAATACAGTCTGAGATGCAAGTCGATCTTATTACTTATGAAAATTTAAGGTGCATAAATACCAGACAGTTTGCTTTCCTTGTATTTGAAGTAACTTCCAGAACATTCAGCGAAACAACTAGCATTACAGAAAAATTATAAATCTCGTCAGTAGAATCAATATTACAAACTGATTAAGTTTTGAATTAAACGATATTATCACCTGTAATTTTGGTAAATACGGTTTCAGTTCAATAAGATAATTGTAAATGACGGTCGATAATAATTTGATTATGCCACAATCAGTAGAACTGCATACTTTATCCCATAAACTGAAACAGTTATTAGCAATTTAATTGCACAATCGCTCCACCGCATATGCCACGAAAATTACAACTTTATAGAAATGTACTTTAATAAGGGTTCATGATCAAAAACAACTGCTCCACCACATCGTACCCAAAAATTCATTGGCATATTTTCCCAAATAAGTTCATCAATATCGCTCGTTTTTGCATAAGCCTTGACAAGTTGACTTTTTAGATTGTCCACAACCTAAATAATGTGATTTTTTAAACAATCAATGTTAATTACTTAAACCACTTAGTTTTCATAGTAAGTGAATAAACTTAATCAACAGTGGATACTAAAGCTAAGCGACTGATACAGTTGGCGAATGGGTTACGTCATCCTTATGTTCGTTATATTGTCCAAAGTTAGAAATGAAGCGAACCCACAATAATATTACATTGTTAACAGTGCAGAAGAAGACACAAATCGGTAATTTTTTTTTAGCAGAAACGACTTAAAAACAAAAGCCACTAACCTCTGTGAGGACCTTCTGAGTAAAGACATGAGATAATAACTCATCAAAGACTTTTGTCAACCAATAAGTGTCGACCCAGTTTGATTCACAAATTACTGACATTTGTTTAGCTATCTAAAATTAAGCTTTTACTTATAATTTCCTTTAGGAGCAATATGAACAAACTCTATTCGGATTTTGCTTTGAACACTTAAAGCACCGAAGTGAATGCTAGATAAAGAAAAGATTAAACAGAGCAGGAAGTAGAAAGTGTTTCTAAGAAAATATGATCTTCGAGCCAAAGATAATTATATAGCTACCGAATTCTGCTAAAAATTATATAATTTTAAGCCGAAAAGATTCACCGCTAACTGCGCTTGAAAGTTCATTTCCAAAGCATCTTGATTGTTGTGCATCATAGAAGTCTCATCTCCGAGTTGAATCATTCGCACAATATCAACCTCTGTTGGATGATACTCCGTATTCAAATCTTTATCGTTATCTGATTTCACAGCATTTAATCGCATCGCACGAAGTGATGACAATAAGACTTTTGCCTAAAATAGTAAGAATCAATAATGATGATGAAACAAAAAGCTGCGTTCTCTAGAAAAGACTAATTGAGCTATCTGATAAAAATCAGTCCAATTTTTTGATTTTTGCAGAAGGAGGAAAGAAGAACATATTATTTCAAAAGAACCGATGAAAAAGCACTTGACTAATTGAAAAGGCAGAAAAAGCAAATCTACACCGTTGTAATTCCAAAAATGATAATTGCAGAGTAATTTCTCATTAAATGTATTCATTTTAAATTACTATTCAAATTGAAGCAGAAGAAAAGCACTAAAATGTAAGGAATTCGACAAAGAAAAGCCCGTAATAAGAGAATTCAATGACGGCAACTAAATAAACATCATAAAATGGGCCAATAATAAAATGAGCCCTTTCAGTACGAAACTGCGATAATACTTGGAATTAAAATCGTAAAATTTTGAGCTAACTTCCTGCATCCGATGTTCTGTTATATCTTTTCTCACTTCTGGTGCAGTTGACGACACTCCTAAATAAATTTTAAGGGCAGTTTCTTGATATTCAAAAAATTTGTCATTCAGACCACTTGATTTAAAATTATCATCGAGAGCAAAATTACATCTTGATATTTTTCGTGTATTTGCCAATGATATTACTACCGCAGGCCATAAAGATTTTTAGATAAACGACATAGGAAATATTGAATTAAAAAATATATAGAGTGGTCTATCCAAAATGAATTACGAAAAGCTTGAGTAGTTAAAACTAAAAAAAAACTTCAAGCGAACACTAACTCAGCAATAATTTCCAAATTGGTACGCGATGAATTTTGGGAACGTAATGTTTGAATGCGAATTGTGCTAATTTTGTCAGGTCGACATCAGAATCCTCGCGTAGGATTTGCTCTTCAATCTGAAATCGACTGCATTCCGCTTTATCTCCAACCATACGACCAACAAAATTGGTACGGAAATTATTCGACCGATCCATGTTACTACTTCCTGAAATGTATTCGGACAACAGTGAGATTTATTAACCATAAAAGGAAAAAGAGAAACTGAAAACTCAATCGAGTCAGATTTTAAAATTTGGAATGTGCAACACATACAAAATTGATGACACAAATTGAGAATAGAGAAATTGAAATTGCATCTGCGGACACGTAACGAAGTAAAGGAAACTATGAATAATCTCAAACAGATTTCAAAGATTAGTATTTTTTGAGAACTACCCCGCAATCAATCAAGTTTACAACGGATACGCAGATTGCTCCGCAAAAAAATCCTCCAAATCATGTTTTCTTATCCCGATCGTGAAATTCATCAACTTCTCCAAATATTTAGCTATTCAAATTTTCTAGTTACCTGCATCCGAACTGATATTTCATATTAAGCAACACTTTGCTTTTGTTCATGTATGCGCTACACCGCAGACTTCACCTTTTTTTTTTGATTTATTTCATCAATACGTGATACGTGATGTCGAATATTTACTCGAAAAACGGACTAATCACACATATCCGCACCTCCCAAGTAGATAGCCCGGTGATGAATAATACTAAAGGTAAAAACGATATATTCAACATTCCAATAATACTAAAAGTAAAAACGATATATTCAACATTCCAATACGTGGAACACAAATACATGAATATCAAAATTATAAGCAATATGAAAAATAAATATAACTTCCACAAACTTTAAGCTGGGTTTCTGAATTCGTTCTACAATTTTATTCATTTTCATCAACATGTTTAGCAAATTTCACTGATGTCTTAGGGCAAATTTTTAGAAAGTGAAATCATGGCGACGGAGTACTTAAAGTGCTAGTAACTATTCTGTGAAAACTCTAATTCATACAAACATAGCAAACCTAGCAAAATAATTCAAATACAGAAAATATCAAAAAATGTATAGTTCACAATTATGTTATGATACTGGAATAAATAAACAAGCAAGAAGGGAACGATACATCTGTCGATTCAAAACACCAAAAAAAAAAGACAATAAAGTAGATTTCATACACAATATGGTTGCTCATCTTTTGAGATTTTTTTTTTTTGAGATATTTTAATGATTCCGTGAAAATTATATCACTCGTAACGTTCGGTGGAATACCATTTTTTAAATTTCCGGATGTAATGGAAACAAGAATCTAACAATCTAAGGCATTGTTATGATTTTTTGGAATCAATCTGGGCATTTTTCTATGCAAATGACCCAATTTAAATGCCAAACTCGACAATTCTCTAAATGTGATATATCAATTGCCTAACATTTCATAAATGAAGTGCATGACAAATTCCCTTTAAATAAGTTTAGCGAATCTAATATACTAGACGCAATTCATAATTGCACAGATATATGATGCACGTAATTATCCTTTGAACTTGCTCCAAGTAGACGAAATCTTCTGCATCGCTTAAAGTATATTGATGTCTATACCTAAACATATACGTAAGCAAGTTGAAAGCAATAAACTGTTAGTGACTGTATACCAGGAAAAGAAAGTAGATCACGCCAAATTCATACATCCGAAAAGATCACAATTTTGGAAAGGAGGAGGAATATTAAGTAGAGGATGAAGCACCACCACTATTTGATCGTGCTGCGCCAGAAGCAGAAGGCATTTGTGGGTCATCGCGGTCACGATTCATTTCTTCATCGCTCTCCTCTTTTGCCTCCATTTCTCCCTCATTTTCTCCAAAATTAAGCCATGACTGAACAATTTTAAGTTGTCAACATAAGCTATTTTCATATCAGTCTCAAATGATTTCAAATTCAAATTCAGCAATAATCCTTAGAATATGTCTTGTAACAAATTACGACTATGCGGAAGCTGTTAAACCTATTAAAAAAAATTCCTTAGAATTATAAAAAATAAAAAACTATAAAAAAATAATCCCTTACGTCAAAGGGAAAACGATACAGAACCTGTTCAACAATTTGTTGCACTCTTTTCTCGTACTCCCGTCTGTTTTCCTGATAAAGCTGAGCAGCGAGTGAATTGGCTGGACTATTTGGATTTGGCTCATCTAATAGGGATTGGATGGAAGTAAGGATAGCGGCAACATCGTAAGTTGGAGACCATCTATTCTGCAAAAGGAAGCACGGCGAAACATTGTAGCAATATCTCATTCTTATATTCATTAGTTTCAGTCATCAAAAGTAAGAAATGGGTATAGAAAAAGGTAGGCTTCCACTTTTTATACACCAACATTCTGCATCTCAGCACTAGCAGATTTCTTTTTCCACTATATCACCTTCCACTATCTCCTCCTCACAACTCTCATCGCAATTAGTATCTAAAATTATGCAAGAAATACCTGCAAAATATCAAGGCAGATACTACCGTCGGCATAAACATTCGGATGAAACATTTTCGAGACGAATTTCACCGTAGGAGGTTTATTAGGATATTCCTCGGTGAATTCAAGGGTCAACTTGAATGTTCCATCTTCAAACGGTGTATCTTGAGGACCAAAAATGATCGCTTCCCACATGAGGATATTATCCTCTGTTGGAGCACCACTAACACCAGCAGGTGGATCCTCCTTTAAAAAAAATTACCTATAGAAAATCTAGGCACTGGAAGCTGGATTAGCACAAATAATATAAATGAATAAAAGACATACTTGCAGCTTCTTGAAATCCCGCATCAAACGTCTTCGTGATGGTGTCGTCATGGTTTACGTGGAGAAATGCTGTAACTAACGCTTTTGTAATTCAACAATTCTATAACAAGAAATGTTAAAAGAACACTACAAAGATATGCAATTTTTTTTTTAAAGAAAACACGAGAAGATAATATAATGGTATTACGATTAATTGTATACCGAGCAAGTTTCAAGTCCAATCGATTGAACTTGAAAAACATAAAACTATTCAATCTTGAAGGAAAATGTAAAACATAGAATGGAAGAATCGCAAAGAAGCACGAGAAAAGGAGAGGCAATAGATGATTATATAAGAAAGCACGACTGCAAAAGAAAAAGAGATAACATTTCTGGCTTTGAATAATACACGCGCACAGAAAATCATAAGCATCACTGATGTACAGCTGATTATGCTAACGCTACCAGTCAGTGATCCATCCATCAGTTTGAGACTGTAAATTCA